CCACAACGTATCTCTATTTACCTATGAATGTTTCCTAAATCCGGGTGGAGGATTTCAAGCCCAAACAAAAGAACCAAATGTAAAGCAATCAAAGCAAACAATATAATCATGCAAAGGGTGATCTAAGCCCTAAGGTTACTCCACTTTTAAAGTTATCCCCAGCAGAGTCGCGAGTTCTGTGATACGGTGGGAGAACTGACTTGGGATTTTGTGTTTGTGTTCACAAATGTTTCGGTTTAGCAAGAGTCTCCACCGACTTTTTATTTTATCCTAAGGAAAGGTCAAAAAGCACAGGAAAGACCTTTGAGATGTTTTCTTGGGTTCGGGGAGTAGATTATAGAAATGGAAGGTATTAGCACCCTTTCTATCCATGGTTATCCATGGGCTCTTAGTTACTTGTTTAGATCACTTGCTTTGCTTTTCAATTGTTTGAAATTGTGCTTTTCAATTGTTTGAAATGGTGCTTTGTGTGTGGTTTTGAAGGATGTTTTGAAAAGAGGCCATAATTGTGGAAACCTTTGTAATGATTCTTGTTTGAATGTATACAAAGGTGTTTTTGTCTTTTGAAAAGTTTTCAATGTTTGAAAGTAGGGTTTTGAAATTGTGTTGTGAAGTGTGTTTTGAAGATAGCAAGGATGTTTTGCAAGCTTTTGATCAAGTAACTAAGAGATATCTACCCTATTTTACTCAAAGATCTTTCTTATGTTTTTAACCCTTTTAACAGTGTTGTTTCACCATTGTATTTGGTGAACAACCTTGTGTTAGGATGTTAAACGGGGCAGGCGCGGGTCATCGTATAGACCATGATAGCAATTGTGTCAAGTATTTTTGGCAATTTTCTTGAGGGACTAGATCATTTTGTTTAGGAAACCAAGATAGCGTCATCGAGGGACTATGATCTTTGTTTTGTTTTTGTTTTGCCAAAGTACTTGACATGCATACCATGGCCCACTTTTGAAGGAAACAAGTGGATTGTAACCCTAGGGGTGTAAGTGTGCATTGTGTTTGTTTTTTCATGCATTTTTGTCTTTGATTAGGTCAAACTATTTGTTGGTTTTGATTTTGCATACAAACCCTAATTCTAATCATGGCATAATTGAAAGCTTAAAGGTGCGAGAATTTAAACTCTAAGCTATTACAACATGATATAGGGAGGGGAGTACAAATTTGAATAGGGGATTATTTTGCAAGAAATTAAACCCTAATTATTACAACCAAATTAAATTTGCAAGGCATAATATTTAAATGTACAATACAATAAATAAATATTAGATAAAATGTATTATGCAAAAAAAAAGGTTTTTTTATGTATGTAAAGTATTATTAAATGGAAAGAAATGTAAAGAAATAAATAAAAAGTTAATTTTAATTATTTTTAGGGTAAACCCTAATTCCTTAAAGAAATGGTATTATTTATTATTTATATACAAAAATGTATCAATATGTACAAAAATAAAAGTATATTGAAAAAAAATATTTTTTAATATAAAATATCAATAAAAATAAAATGTATTATTTTTGTGTTTTTTTATTCTATGCTTTTAATAAAATAAAGTATATATGTATATATTTATATATTAAATATATTAAGTGTGTAAAAAATAAAATAAATTATTTACGAAAATGTATATATTTCAAGAAAATATTTTCAAATGTGAATAAAAATAATAAATGAAAATAAAAGTATTTTTTACATTATTTTTAAGTTTAAACAAAATAATATAGAGTATTTAAACATTTTAATGTTTGAAATAATTGAAATAAATACCAAATAAATATAAAAATTTATGAAAAGATTTTTTAGGTATTTTTTATGTTTGAAAATAAAATAATAAAATCAGGAATGAAATTAAATGCAAAAATAATAAATATACAAAGAAATGGGCCAGGGGGTGTGAAACTGAAAATGTGGGTGTGAAAAGTAGGAAATAGCCAGGCCAAGCCCAACTACTTCATCTTCTTCCTCTGTTCAAACAAAATACGCGCCTTCTGTGTACAAACTGCCAACTCCTGGAAACGTGATCCTTTGACAAAACTCAAAACATGAAACTTGTAGAGCATCAAACAACGATTTCAACCATATAAAACACTTAAGCTAACTCTCAAAGACCAGAGAGAATTTCTCTGGCCCTAATTTCTAACCTAGTTTTTTCAGAAAGTTCATGGATGAAATTCTCCTAGCACGATTAATATAAATGAAAACTAAGCACATGTATGGTTTCAGGGCAATGAATACAACATCTTTTATTCACAAACCTAAGTCTAAATGTTCCTAAATAGAGAGATAGAAGTTCATGAAATACCTGTTTCAGTTGAGTTCGAGCTGGACAATGCAACAACTTCCAATGGGGCCTGAGGTTCTTTTGAGCTTGCTTGATGTCCCCTGAACCTTTTCTAATGCTTAGTTTATTTTGAAGTAGCCTGAATCGTGCTACAAAACTCAACCTGCAAAGCTTCCAAACAAAAATGGTGATGTGTGTTAATGGAGTTACAGCAACTTGTGAATGGTTTGGATAGCTTAGGTATATTGTTTGGAATGTGTTAGAAGTGATTTGGGATAAAACGCACGAGGGAATTTGATTGTGGCTTGTGATTTGCAGAACTGGCCCTATTTTACAAGAAAATGTGGTTTTTGAGTATGAGGAGGTTTGAGAGGCCAAGGGCTCGTGCTTCTGGCTTGCAACGATGTGTGTAACTTGTTTCAAAACTTTGCTTGAGTTGATTTTAACAGATGTGTGTGTTATGAGCTTTTGGCCATTTGACTTGTTTTGAAAGCAAAGTTTAAAGTGAAATGAGATAGGCCTGTACAGGCTATCTCCAATCATGCACCAACTTCTTGTACCTTTGCCTGAGTTTGTAGAACTTGTTTGCTGCAAAGAAAGAAGTTCAAAGCTCAAGAAAGACAACTTTGCAAAAGTTATGCTTTATGAAAATGGAAGTGTGATCTTTATGTCCAAAATGGAATTATTCAATGTACAATGCTCCCTTGATCAGGACAATGCCTCTAAACAATGTATTTTCATTCAATTTTTGAGTGTTGAAGGGTTTAGAGACCTGTAATTATGTACTAAGCTAGTTTGGTCAGATTTGCAACTTGGTATGAACATGTATTGGCCATGGTTACAAAGTGAGTTTTTGTCAACTTCAAGCATTCGATTCTCCCTAACCACAAAGGTGTTTGAGGAGTTCTTGGACAATTTGGAAAGCTTACAACATGTACTATAATCCATATTTGAAATGAAACTTAAGACTCCAAGTGGAACTATGTGAAAAATGGCCAAGAAGATGGGTCAAAATCCTGCCTAAACTAGGGCAAAATTTCTCTAAGTTAAAAGTTTTAGGTACCCTTGTTCCAAAAATCATAACTTGAGATCCAAGCTTCTTTTGAGAAAACTTTGTGAATCAAAGTTGTAGACTTTGTGATGTAATAAAACTTTCATGTTGTAAGTTTTGTTTGAATCCATTTGCATCTTGGTGAAAAAATGGGACAAAGTTAGGAAAAAATAAGAAAATTTTATAACTTAGAAAATTTCTAAGTTATGAAATTTTTCCATTTTAAACCCTAATTTGCAATTTTGGGTTTCTTGATGAACATGTTTCATAATTTGAAATTTCTTTATGAAAAATGACCCTTGGCACTTGATTTTGACCAAAAAGTCAAAGTTTGACTTTTCAGTATACAGTTAAATTTTGATCAGTTGACTGAAAAATTCATCTGTCAATCCTATGCATTTGAGATCTTTTGAACTTTTTGAATGGGTAAAGATGATGTCATTGAGTCCTTGAGTCCATGGTTGAGCTTTATTTGCCATTGGCTAGGTAAAACAGTCAAAAATTGCCTTTGCACAGTCAAAACCCTAAAAATAACTATTTTGCCCTTTTGGTGATCTGATCAAATTTCTTGTGGAATTGTGATCCAAACTTGATCAAATGGTTCATATGAGTTCATAATGTTGATGTGGGTCAAAATTCATGAGGTTTGACTGTCAATTGGCCACAGTTGACTTTTTCCCCAATACAGTTGATTTCTAGGTCAACTGTCCAATTGACTGGGAAAAAATTTGATTCAAGGCTTGAAACTTGGTATGGACAAACTTGTGAGTCCAACATGAAATATGAAAGTCACTTTGGGCATTGTAGGTCAAAACATCCCTGTGCAAACTCAAACCCTAATTTAGGTCAACAGTGATATGAGGTGTCTTGAGCAGGACAAACCCTAACTTGATCTTGAGTTCCAAGAGTCTTATGATGAGAAATGTTAATGAAATGAGAGGGCAAATTTTGGGGTACAACACTTATGCACTTTAAATATCCTGTTGCTACATACTCAAGCTTAGAATCTAAACTTGATCAGATTCAAAAGCTGTTGTTTGAAAAAACTTAAGTTATGAGTTATACATTTCACACTCCCATCGTTATAATTGCCTTTTACAAATATGGTGAATGAGTTTTTACATAATAGTGATTTTTTTGTGTGCTGATGTTGTTGATTATATCTTTTATTTTTTTATTATATTTTGATTGCTTTGCTATTAAAAAATAGAATTGAAGTCACAATTTAACAATTTTAAAGATCCCCAAACTCATAGACATAACCATAACTGCAATCATAATTTGAAACTATTCTTCTGAAATCTTTTGATGTATAGTCTAAGTTTCCCTATTTTTTCTTCATTTCTTTATGTAGTTTTATTCATTAGAAGCTAAACTTATATTCAAACAAAATACTTAAACAGTCAAAGACAAATTCCTTTAAGCAAAAAACATTTGTATATTATATTTTTGTATATATAATAAATTAACTGTTAAGAAAGTGATACTAGGAGACTGCCCAAAGTTATGTACAAACCATATATTACTTAGACATTCATATATCAATATATATATAACTCTAAAACAAGACCTATATGCTTTAATTAAATAGAAAGAAAAAAACAATAAGCTGACAAATGCATAACACACAGTCACACACAATAATTCAACCTTAAACAAATTAAATACTAAGATAAATCATGCATAATGGGGTCCTCAAAAAAAAGTTCAGACCAATAAGCTGTTGCAGATGGTCCTCCTCCTCCTCCTCCATAGCTAGAAGTGCTGCTGCTGGCATCTGGAGGAATAATTGATATTGGAGCAGAACAAGGAACATTATTAATCCATGATGTTTCATCAAGTGTTGCAAAGTTTGTAATAGTACCATTTTGACCCTGTTTATTATTCAAACATGATTGTGAAGTGAAAGAGACTTGTGGTGGGTCTAAAAAGTGTTGAGGTATCATACTTTGGTGGGGGAGTGGTTGAGAAAATGAGGCTGCATGAGTACTATCAGCATCAATTATTGTGTTTTGTTTCACATTAGATATTGAGTTTAACAAACATAAAGGTTCTTGTTCTTGTTGTTGTTGTGAAACCATGTTTGTGATGCTGATGGCATTTTGGTCATATGAATTATTAATATTTGAAGATTGGAGTAAATAATGAAGGCATTGAAGTTTTGCAACATGAACTGCATCTGCTTGTAAACTACTCATTGCATCCCATGATGATGTTTGCTGATGATCCATAAGATCTGTCATGTTTGCTAAAGCTAATAGATATGGCAAAGTCGAAACAAGATCGGTTCTTGGTTGGTGAGTCATTGGATCAAAACCCATTTGAATCAACTTTTTCTTCAAATGCGTGTTCCAGAAATTCTTTATCTCGTTATCGGTTCTTCCAGGTAGATGGGTCGCAATTGCAGACCATCTGTTAAACCAAGTTGAATTCTATATCAATAAAAATTAATGATAATAGTAATAAAAATATCAAGTTAATTATGCTACATGAAAAGTACTTGTTTCCGAGGATTGAATGAAGATGAAGAATTGTTTGTTCTTCTTCTTGAGAAAATTTTCCTCTCTTAATATCAGGCCTTAAATAATTTGTCCACCTTAGCCTACAACTCTTTCCACATCTATTAAGACCTGAAAAATTGCGAGAAAAAAAATCAAATCATATATTACAATAAAAAATATTTAAAAGTTTATACGAACCTGCTAGATTAGGGAGTGCTCTCCAACTTCCATGGCCATGTTGTTGAATGTGTTCAACAAGCTTTTGATCTTCTTCAGTAGTCCAAGGTCCTTTCTTAAGGCCATTATCATCACAACATGGGGACCTTCCCATGTTTTTGCTAATTACTGTCTAATTAAAATGGGGATGGTGCATGCTATTTATATATCCATATTCTATTTGGTTGCTTCTTGTCATTAATTTATCTTGATTAAAAAAATATTACATGTAAGTAAACCTTATTAGGTTTTTAGAGATTTTCACACACTTCCTTCCTCCTTTGTTAAACCTAAGTGTCTTGTCCCTTGACAAATATACCCTTCACACTATATTTTAAAATTAATGTATAATATTCAGAATTGTTTTTGAAAATTTGTAACACGAATTATAATAAAGAATCTCAAATTTGTAAGAATTAAATTATTATTAAATATGTTCTAATAAAATATTTATAGATTAAATTATAATTAAGTATGATCTCTTTTTGTTTTGTCATGATTAAACTTTGAATATTTTTCATAAAATCTCAAAAAATTTAAGACGACTATGATGATGGTGATGGTAACTATAATTTTTAATTAATTAATAATATAATATTGACCATAATCTCTTCCTCTTAGTAAAATTTGAAAAAAGAAATGTATAAAGATTATAAAAACGAGAATTGAGTAATGTTGTGGAGAGGACATAAACTTTATGGTGTTATTTTAGTTTGAATTAGGATGGTCATGGTAGTAAAGTAGGGTTAAAAGGTTGAAAAGATACAAAATAGATTACGTAAGAAGTGGCGACTGAATGGTTGATTAATTATGGAAGGTATCCTTCCCATGCACGCAAGAAGGAGGCTGTTAATTTCGTCATGGTTTGCATGGCATCTAAATACTCACGTCCTCTCTTCTTGGATTTCATACCCTCTAAAAGAATCATTTCACCCACAGTGCGTACCATGAAAATTATCTAATTATTATTTATTGATGTATTCGTGCGTATATGCATATACGACAAAGAGTATGTTATTAAGGTGTACATATATATAACACATGCTAGCAGAGTTACAAGTTGGTATTTAAGAACCAATGTAATGATACGACGAGTTGAATATTCAAAGTTCAAACCACGCCAAATAAATTCAAATCGAACAAAATATGTGAAGTAAACTTGACCTTTTTTTTTTATAAACAAAAGAATGGATTAAAAGAAAGTACCACTAATATAAAATATATATTTTATAACATCTTTTTTTCTATGGTCATTTAATGAACAGTAGTAATAATTTATTTTTAAACGTATTTTTTGGTTATTATTTTCTAAAAGACAGTTTACTATGATCATGTTGGTGCACAAGATTAAAGATGAAAATGAAAATGACAGAAGAGAGAAAGAAAAATCGGTTGCAACAAACTTATTTAGAAAGAAACTCTATTTACGAATCTTACAAAAACTTTAGTTATAAATTTGTTTAAATACACAAAATAAATGGCCACATAGGCACAAACAAAAATATGCTTAATAGCTAAGCTAATAACTAAGAGTAGCTTCTAAAAAACATCTAACTACTACTTTTGACTGAAAAGTCTCAGAAGCTTACAACTTTTGACTAACATCCTCAAAAGCTATTGTTTTTGACTAACAGACTCAGAAGCTTCTGAATAACCTCAACTTCTGAATATTAATTAGTTTTAACAGGTCAAACCTAATAACCGTAGTGAAAAACACTTGGAGTGACTGACTTCACATCCCAACTGCAATTTTCCTTTTTTGATTATAACAAATGAGGCTGTCACTTATAATCTTATATTTAGATTAAAATTAAAATACCTTTCACTATGGTCTAAAATATAAACCAGTTGTGAAACATACCAACATTTTATCCCGATCGTTTTTATCAACCGTGGTAAAATGTGGTAGTTATATATAAGCTAAATTTATCTTGTTTCAATACAGAACAACCGTCTCTTATAAAAAAAACTCTAACATCTCTCTCAAGGCTTATCCTAATCTCCATTAACTTTTTCACACCATTTATTGACAAAACTCCAACATATCTTCTCCAACTCTTATGGATCAAGGAAATGTATTACACAACATGCAAGACGAAAACACCAAACTCATTTCTTTGAATTCCTCTTCATATTTTAGGTATGTGAGGTGTAACATCCTAAATCCCGCATATAATTTATCAAAGAATTTAATTAAACAAGAGGCAACCACTTAGGGTGTCACACACAATCAACTCATCCTGCTCCGTAACACGGGTTATAACAGAACTCTTTAGAACTTGTCATCGTATGCTTGTCTTCACTTAGGGTATCATCGGAGCAGAATCATCATTAAATTAAATAAATATATTGTTGCAACTCATGACATTTAATCTCATAAACTTCAACTTTCATAACATAAGCAAAAGGATTTATGTCATTCAACTCTCAACAATTCTCCAAAAATCAAGAACATCAACTATTAACTTCAACAAAACAAATGACTCAACTTAAAAGAAAATCAAACATAACGAAACAAGTCTCATCCCGATGTTTCATAATCAGAGCAAGACCCACTAACAATACGAAAACTAACGAAAGTAACTCCAGGAGCTATCTTTCACTTACTTCAGTAAAAGTTACTCTTGAGCATCTACAAGATGTCCATGGTAGACAATATTAGAGTAAAGGGGTGAAAATACACTTCTAAAATTAATGGTGAATGCAAGCGAGGGTAAAATATCACATAATAACAAATACACACGTTAAACAAATGAACATCAACATATTAAATATTCTCATCCAAACAACACATTAACAACAATAAATACAAATGAAACACTTATGCAATGTACTCAACACCGACTCAACATGCATGTGGTACCAAATATGAACACTCAGATTCAACTTGTTCCCCGATCCCTACCATAGGATCAGATTCCCTCTTAGAACTGAAGCACGCCAAAATCGTCACTATAACTATAGGTAACTCTTCACCGATTCCTACTGGAGCCAACTACTCGCACTCAATCCATCAATATAGGATCGAGGCTCTGGTGCGGTGTTTCACAAGTATACAAAATTATTAGAGTAATATAAAATATTGTCGAGCCTACAACAACCAAGTTGTCAATCTATCTTTACTAACTGCTGCAATGTTTATCTAAGACTAATAAAATAAGGATTTCAGTTATGCAAATAAAGTAAATAAAAGACTTGAATTAATGACAGAAAAGAAATGTTGGAATATGGATCTCATCGATTTGTTGATACTTTTAACGTTCATAAATTGAATTTCTATGGGATAATATTTTCTACTTTTGAAAAGAACTAATTGAACAGGAACTATCACTTTCGCGTATTTAGAACTGGAATTTACCTTCTAAATTATACCACTAACTGTCATCGTGGTGGCGTGTATTGCGTTGAAGAAATAAAACCTATTTTAAGAAATTAGAATCTTAACTTAATTGAAAAGTGATTTTGGTTGGAAAGTAAAACCTTAAAGGGTTTTCGGCGTTCGCATCGGAAAACCATACCTTCAAACTTACAGGCGCGTCTGAAAATAGGTTTAACAATACTTTATTAAAATATCAATCTTCCTAATTAATTAACAAATGGCTTTTGCAGTTTTTATCAATTAAAAACTAAACAACCTTAATCTTTTATACTGGATGGATTTCGATCTTTTTCATCATATAAATGGTTCTACTTTCATAGTAACCGACAAAGTTAAATTTACAAAGGTTGTGATTAAAGCTAAAACAGTCCCGATAAAATTTCTCAAAGACCCATTATTTAGAGTACTGTCAAATCAACAATCCTCATATTCCAACAAATATAAATTTATGTACACATGATTAAAATATAAATTAAAGCGATTGATTTGATTGTGCGATAAAGCATAGTAAAGACAATTAAGAGAAAGGTAGAAGAAGATTGTGCGAATAAATAAAAAAGAGTGATTAAATAAATAGTGCGATAAATAAACCTGCTCTGAAGTGACTTTAATCTGGTACAAGAGTATATTGTTGGAAATAAACTTTAATGTGATGTAAATGATGGCAATATTAAATAAATATGGAAGATAAAGGTGCTCTAAACTTGATACACGAACAAAATGCAATAACCCCTTGATGTCCAACGTTAAAGCTCTAAGAATACTGAATTTGATGGCTTGTGTTTGTGCCAAGCTTGGATAATCAAAAGTAAAACAATAAGGCATATTTATAATAAAACAAAACCCTAAAAATTATGTTGGAAATTTCATAAAGCATGGGAAAAAATATAGGAGAAGAAATTGGAGTCATGGAGACCAAGTGAAAACTATTTCAAACTGCTTCTCGTCAACAACGTGTGGCGGTCACCACAGATCTCTTGGTGAATGTGATGCGATGGGAGAACTGACTTGAGGTTTTGCGTTTATGTTCGCAAATGTTTCAGTTTAGCAAGAGTCGCCACCGACTTTTTATTTTATCCAAAGGAAAGGTCAAAAAGCACAGAAAAGACCTTTGAGATTGTTTTTGGGTTCAGGGGGTAGATTATGAAAAGGGAAGGTGCTAGCACCCTTTTCATCCATGGTTTTCCATGGGCTCTTAGTTACTTGTTTTAGATCACTTGCTTTTGCTTTTCAATTGTTTGAAATGGTGCTTTTGTGTGTGGTTTTGAAAGTATTTTGAAAAGAGGCCTATGTTTAGGCAACCTTTGTAATGATTCTTGTTTGAATGTATACAAATGTGTTTGTCTTTTGAAAAATGTTTTCAATGTTTGAAAGTTTGTTTTGGGAAAATGTTTTGAAATTGTGTTGTGTGTTTTTGAAATTAGCAAGGATGTTTGCAAGTTTGATCAAGTAACTAGGAGTTGTCTACCCTACTTAAAGATCTTTCCTACACATTTTTAATCCTTTGACATTGTTGTTTTACCATTGTATTTGGTAAACAACTTTGTCTTTGGATGTTAAACGGGACAGGTGCGGGTCATCGTATGACCATGATAGCAATGGTGCTAAGTATCTTTAGTAAATTTTTGAGGGACTATGATCTTTTTGATTTGTTTTTGTTTTGCCAAGATACCTAGCATGCATACCATGACCATTTTTAAGGCAACAAGTGGATGAAACTCTAGGGGTGCTTGTGT